GTGTTTATTCTGTCATTAATTTTTCTCTGTTAATGTCATTTATCTCGTTTGAATATTTTGATGTATAACTTGATATCCGATTATCGTGTGGACAAAACACATTTCCATGTTTTTATACAAATGGACGAATAAAATAAATTGAAATTAAGATTATTGTATAAACTTACCACTTGAGGTTTCGAATGTATGATCAACAAACGGTCGTTGGACTAAGTTAGTAATTGTTGACCCTTGAACTCGTCTAAATTGGTAAGTATTTATGTCACTGTTTTGTTTAGAAACTTGTCCTGTTAACCAGTTACAGAAATCTTCTTCAAAATCGCAAGTATCCGCTGCAAAAACGGATGGACATTAAACAAACAAATACTTAAAATATTTTTAAGAATCAGTGATTAAATTTCATAATAACAGTAGAAAAAACAATTTAAAAATGATGATGGGTAGACAAAAGATGGAACCAACATACTTTACAACAAAATATATGGCAAAAAAAGATGGGTCCACGGTGCAAGATGGAGAAATAAGCTGGTAAAGAAAACAGGTAACACCAAACACGGGTAAATGGCGCACAACTACAGGTGTATTATGTGCATTATAAATCCATTGATTGACTGACTGACTGACTGACTGACTGATTGATAATTCGAGATTGATTTGTGATTGATGATTCGAGAGAAGATTTTGCCGATGATGTTAGTTGTACATCTTAGTCTATCCAGATTTGGTTAGGATCTGCCCTTTCTTTTTAACATGAAACTTACGATTGACTATTGGTAATGGAATGGATGTTGCCAATTCAGCGGAAGAGAACCGACACTCTGGTGTAAATGATATTTTGTCGATATAGAGTAAGCAACCACTTTGTTTGGTACCTTCTATAACGATCTGGAAAAGTTATAAAGAAAAAAGAAGGATGGAATCACGGTAAATTATATGAATTTATCATAACTCAATTTCAATGAGGGTTTTTAGCATGAAATAGTAATAATACTACAAGTCCCCCTCTAATTAAAGACCACTTTCCTGTGGTCCCATATTAATAAATGTCTTATATTTTTATTATTCTAATTAGAGTCCCAAAAGTGGTCTTTAATTGGAGGGAGAAGTGTATTTAATATTATTGTAGTTAATTTCTTTGTTCTCCAACACCAACTGCTGTACACTCATTAGTAGACCTTTGCGAAGTGTCAATCAAACAAACGACCAATCAGAACAGGGTTGAAATACGCGCAGGTAACCCAAACGCACGTGTTGTCCCACACAAACACACGTGCTTACGTAGTTTATTTACGCTATCGTACTATAGAGATATAAACTGCAATATTTTACGTCTCTGTCCAGGCTTACTACTTACTATTTTACGAGTTTTACCAATTTTAATTACTGGGTTTACCCTATTGTATTTTATTTGTTTAGGTTATTTTTAAACATTTTTTAATTCAAACTATCTATTACTCACATTTCTGTGCAATTTATGTAAGCTTTTGTCCTGTTGTCTCTTTAAAAAAAATTTAACTTTTAACTATTTAAAAAAATATTACTAATGGACTCATCTGTACAACGTCTATGAGGGTCAAATAATCTCCAATTTCATCAAGTATTTTAACACGTATTTTATCTAGTTTATTGTTTTTTTGTTGTTTATGATGAAAAGTTTATTGTTTTTTGTTGTTTATGATGAAATGAATAAAGATTGAATTGAGCTATTATAGGTCTTCAGAAAATATCCTGGTGAATAAAAAAAATCTTGTAACACTAACTTTAAATAGGTGTTTACTGCGTAAAGCTATAACTTCTCTTCTCCAGTAATTTCCGTTTCCTTGCTTCGACCAAAGCAGTTTCAAATGCCCAGAATTCGATTGCTGCATGTAGATGGCTAATGCGCCAGGCTGCACGTTGTCCGAACGGTAGAAAAAACGCATCTGTGCCACGTTATTGAAATGGAAATTTGAACAAATTATGAACATGATAAAAAATGATTAATCAATCTATTATTATGTAATTTTTAAAAACTAAGACATTCAATTGAGACCCAGATCAAAATTTATTGTTTGCTAATTTACAGACTTTTAAAAAAAATTTACGAATTTAAAAAAATATAATACCATCAGCCAATATCTTCAGTATCATTTATGCGTCATTTTTAGCTAAGTAAAGACAGTATGGGCCTATCTTTTGTTTAGTTAAAAGAATACCTACGTAACATGTTACATCTGTAGCATTAATCGTCGCGCTTATGAGCCTAGCACGCTCTCCGGATGCACCGTTGACACCCAACTTCATCATATTATTGCCTGCAATGGATAAATTGGTTTAATCGTCTGTATGCCTAAATACAGGTTGGCCGATTTCTTTCTTCTGCCAGCAGGTTTGTTCATCTCTTTGTGTTGTTTCTCATGTGAACAGTAACATTTTATAAGTAACCCAGTATTAAGAACAAATAAGTAAATAAAACAAATAAATGAAATATGTAAATTCAGATTTACTAAAAGATGGTTTGGAGTTTCTTGTGACATTTTATTTTATCTCGTTAGACCCATCAGTCATTTATTAAAGTTAAGTACAATTAACAAATACATTGTTGTCATGTACTATTTTCATCACCATTCATAAATCACAATATGGATTCTACCATCATTACAAGGTTACATATCAATATTCTATCCTATAGACCATACACAACATTTTCATTTCTTTTAATTCATTTTCTTGCTTTTCTTTCCCTTCGCAAAAAAAAAAAAAAAAATACTAACACACCATGCCATGATTAGATACAGTAAGGGTGAAATTCAATTGTCTTCAAAAGAAATGAGCTGATAATGCGAAGGAGAAAAAGAAATAGCTGGAGATGTGAAGGTGTATGGAGTGAGTGTAAACTATTGGTATAATTTTAAAGGTAATGTACTACACTAAGACTAGAAAATTTATGATTAGGTAATTAAAACGTAGAATACAAACTACGAATCCAATTAAGATCATCATTTGTTGATTGCTCCCAAATACACATGTCAGAATTGAAGTTGCACATCGTATAATTACCTGAAAAATACAATAAAAACGAATTATTAAATTAATGATGAAATTCGAATTCAAATTTTACTCCGCTCAAGGGAAGGCGGATGTTCTATCAATTTTAATGCAAATACGCGGAACAGCTCATTCTTCTGTTATTTAAGTTCTTTGGTTTAACTTACTGCAAGTTTCTTCGTCACTGCCATCACAGCAATCATCTTGGAAGTCACATTCGACCACCTTTGGGTAGCAGTGCCCGGAAGTACAATTTATATGACCAGGAAGGCAATGATGTAAAGTCTGTTTTGTTTCGGCACAGTTATCAAATCGCAAGTCGTCGATGGCAAATCCTCCGAATGGAAAGACCGTTCTGTCACGTGCCTCGATGACTATCTTTTAAAAAATTAAATGTGTTACGTGTAAAAAACAGCTTTAGTATATAAAATAGTGTATACACTGCACAAGGACGTTCGAATGTTTTTGAAAAGGCGCAGCGGAGAGGGGAAGCTGTGACTTTTGTACTCAAGCCGGGTACATACTCGCTAATCTGGTGGTAGCCACGTGTGTGCGCTAAACCGTGGAGATCTCTAGGTCTCCGGTTCAATTCCCATCGCTACCTTTCGTGTTTCAGCTAGAGGCTGAAATACAAGTTACAATAGCGCACCGTCTTTCGTAGGAGACGTTTAAGCCGTTGGTCCCGTGTGCATTATGGCCCATGTTCACGTTAAAATCCGCAGTACACTCTTCAGAAAAGAGTAGGGAATTGTCTCCCGGTGTACTGTCCAATCACCACCAGAAGGACCCCACTGGAAATAAGTTTTCTTCTAGACTTTCCTGGGCTACCCCTGTTGTTCACCGAATAAATCCAATCCAATCC